GTATGAAATATTATGGTTCTTTTTTTATTTTAATATACCTATTGAATTTCAAGTCTTTATATTTTAGTTATTTTTGATGGTTCAACATTAGTCAATCTTTAGACTATAAATTATTACAAATAGTTTTCTAACTTTTCCTTGAGTAATAAGTTTTATCATCTTTCAAAAGTTATAAAACAAGATGCAACCTCTTTTGTGCTCTAACTAATCAAAAGATTCAATTCCAATTTATTTAATTATATTTTTAATTTATAACTCAAATACAATTTTTAATAATGTTTATGTGACTTTTAGAAACAATTTACCCATTGGAGCTAAAGTACACGTGGCACGTATCGTAAGACTAGTTAATCATAAGGATAACAACAACAACAACAACAACATACCCAGTATTATTTCACACCGTGGGGTTTGGGGAGGGTAGTGTACGTAGACCTTACCCCTACCCTGTGAGGATAGAGAGATTGTTTCCAATAGATCCTCGGCTTAGGAAAGTATAAGCACCACATTAATGAAAATATAGACAAGAAAGGACAGTACCTAAAAGCCATATAAAAGCAGAATAAAAATAACAAAATAGTAAGGTGATCAATAATGAAAGAAAATAATGGTTAGTCATAAAAACCTACTACCAACATAAAGAGAGATTGCGTGCCAATACTACTGTTATGAACACTCTAGACTACCTACCATACTACCATAATCCTTGACCTCCATACTTTCCTATCAAGGGTCATGTCATCGGTCAGCTGAAGCTACGCTATGTCTTGCCTAATCACCTCCCCCACCTCTTCTTTGGCCTACCTCTACCTCTACGTAGGCTCTCCAATGTCAACCTCTCACACCTCCTTACCGGGGCGTCTGTGCTCCTCCTTCTCACATGACCAAACCACCTAAGCCACGCTTCCCGCATCTTGTCCTCAATAGGGGCCATACCTACCTTGTCGCGAATAACCTCATTCCTAATCCTATGTAACCTGGTGTGCCCGCACATCCATCTCAATATCCTCATCTATGCTACCTTCATCTTCTGGACATGAGTAATTTTGACTGGCCAACACTCAACCCCATACAACATAGTCGGTCTGACCACAACTCTATAGAACTTACCTTTAACTTTCGGTGGTACCTTCTTGTCACACAAAATACCGGAAGCGAGTCTACGTTTCATCCCTCCCGCCCAAATACGATGTGTGACATCTTCATCAATCTCTCCATCTCCCTGAATAATAGACCCAAGGTACTTAAAACTTCCTTTACTAGGGATGACTTGGGAGTCCAGCCCCACCTCCCTTCCCCTTCCCGAGTCTCTCCACTGAACTTATACTCCAAGTATTTTGTCTTGGTCCTGCTCAACTTGAAACCTTTAGACTCCAAGGTCTGTCTCTATACCTCTAACTGCTCGTTCACACCGTCTCGCGTCTCGTCAATCAATACAATATCATCTGCAAATAGCATGTACCACGACACCTCCCCTTGGATGTGACACGTGAATACGTCCATCGCTAAGGCAAACAAAAAGGATTGAGTACAGACCCCTGATGCACCCCATCATGATCGGAAAATGGTCCGAGTCCCTACCCACCGTCCTCACTCGGGTCTTTGCTCCATCATACATGTCCTTAATCACCCTAACGTAGGCAACATGTACACCTCTAGCCTCCAAACATCTCTACAAAACCTCCCTCAAAACTTTATCTTATGCCTTTTCTAAGTTAATGAACACCACATGCAAATCTTTCTTCCTCTCCCTATAGTGCTCCATCAATCTCCTAATAAGGTGGATGACTTCTCTAGTCGAACACCCTGACATAAACCCGAACTGGTTCTCAAAAATAGACACACTCCTCCCCACCCTTAGCTCTGCACTCTCTCCCAGACTTTCATAGTATGGCTAAGCAGCTTGATACCCCGATAATTATTGCAATTTTGGATATCACCCTTGTTCTTGTATACATGAACCATCATAATCTACCTCCGCTCTTCGGGCATCTTCTTCGTTCTAAAGATAAAATTAAATAACCTAGCGAGCCACTCCAAGCCCGTCTTGCCCGCACTCTTCCAAAACTCTATCAGGATTTCATCCGGCCTGGTCGCTTTGCCCCTGCTCATCTTACGCATAGCCCCCTCAACCTCATCAACTCTAATCCGCCTACAATACCTAAAGTCACAACGACTCCCGGAGAGTTTCAAATCACCCAGTACAATGCTCCTGTCCCCCTCCTCGTTTAAGAAAATATGGAAGTAGATTTGCCATCTCCGACGAATAAGCCCCTCATCCAATAAAACTCTACCTTCTTGGTCCTTGATGCTTATTAATCGTAAGGATAATTTTGTCAAATAGAAAATAAATAAAAAAGAATAATTTATCAAACATAAGATAAAAGAAAACGCACATCATACAGTAATACTTCTACATTATGTTCAAATGTAAGTACCACCCACAAGAATGCACAAATCTTATGAGATTCAACATCATATTATTAATCATAAGAACATTGATGCTTCTGTCAGGTAGGAGTATAGAATTAGCAGTTTTAAGAATATATATTTAATATTGATTAAAATAATTAACTCTCTAATTAAATTATTACTTTTATGGTGTATTATGCTAAAAGATACTTTCTAATAATAGTAGGAGACATCCATGATCCAGAATCATATGGAATACATTATTGGCAAGGCAGGAACGCACAAGAAAAAGGAAAAAGAAGGCCATAGGCCATTGGTAATTTCTTTTTAAAAAATAAATAAATAAAAACTACTCATTAAAAATAAAAGAGGAAAAAATTTGCTATGCGGTGCGGGGCGAAGTCTTTGCAGGTTAAGGCTAAACCCGCACCACAAGCGTCCCACCCATTACCATCTCTTAAAGTTAAAAGGCAAAAATCAGAAGGGGAGAGAGGATAAAAGTAACATCTTGTTTGGATGGTTGTTACCCATTGTCTTTCTTATACACTAAAATCTCCTAAAGGTCTGTTTTCTCCACTTCCCTTTTCTTAATGGTACTGGATGATAATGAATGTGATAATTATTTTTGAGCATCCCTTGTTCGTCTATAATGTTCCTTGAATGATTTGCTGTTAAGTTTCCATTTGATTCGATATTTTTTCTCTAAATTAGTTCAAAGAGTATTTAAAGTATTTAGATGCAATTATTTCTATTCACAATCCATGAGGGAATCGGATGGTTCAAAAGAATAGACCTAAGAAGTTAATAATGGTATTTAGAAATGCCTTCTGGTTTTTCTCATTTGAATCAATAAACTGTGAGTTGTAGTCTTTCTTTAGTCATTATTTTGTGAATTATTTACAATCCTAATTTTACAATTCTTCTCCATAAGGAGTGTTATTTGGTTCAATGGTTAACGTGCCAATTAAATTAGTTTTGCTTCATTTTGGGCATATTCAAAATTGTTGGGGGAAAGGCACGACAGCGTTTTTACTGAAACTTTACGGTTTGTGGTGATTAGAGAATTTTCCATGTTTTAAAGAATCTATTGTGTGTATTGGACTATAAAGTGAAGCTAGAATTAGGCTGTGGGTTCAAATGTTTAAGCTTTCATTTTGACTCTGATTGGTATTAGGAAAAGAGTTAATAGACAGTAGACTTCTAATTTTAGAGTTGGAAGGGAATGGGCCACATGAGTTTTGGTCTAAAATGAAGGTTCATTAATCTGATTCATTCTAATGTTGAGTAGGTTTTGAATTTAGTTATATTTAGTCTTCTAGTTCCGGTAGTCTAATAATAATCACAATGAGGTCATATCATGCTTTTCGGGGAATATTTCTTTCATCAACATTCTCTTAGTTTAGCTTTAAATGTATTTGCTTTAAACGTGAATTTCTTGAGCTATATTTGTAACTTGCTGAAGTTTCTTTATAGTTAAGTATGAACTTAAAGGAAATGTAGATGCTTATTGGATTTTTTATCATTATAAGACCATTAATCACTTAGTTGAATTGGATAATTCAGGCATTGAAGGTTCGAATAAGCCACGACATTTTGGTTGGCAAAAAGTTTTAATTGAGAGCTAATAAAAATTCATAAGCTAGCCTACCTTTCATAACTAATGGATTTCATTTCTTTCACAATAATTCCATAATTCACGACCTTACATTAATCTCAAATATAGCAAAGAAACAAATCATGAATACGTTAGTATGCTTTTAGGCACACGCTTAATTAATCAAATTATTGTGATTATGTATACGTTCGCATGACATAATTATAATTTTTAAAATTAAAACCACGGTACGCGTATTATTATTAATTGTGTATACGTACGCGTGACATGATTTTGACACACCAAAAAATAAAACGAATACACACGTGATTCGTTTCAAGATAATTTCATATTTGTGATAACCGAGTAATTAAAAGCCGTAAAAATGGAAATGTACATCAAGTTCTTGAAACATGTAAGATATCTAAATTAATCGAGCCAAGTATAAATTGCAAAGCGACCGTGCTAGAACCACGGAACTCGGGAGTACCTTACACCTTCTGGGTTAATAGAATTCCTTACCCGGTCTTCTGTGTTTCGCGGACCATAATTCAGAATTAAAACTTCCCTTGATTAGGGTTTAAACGAAATGGTGAGTTGGAACACCAAAATTAAATAATTGCAAGTGACGACTCTTTAAATAATAAAATCAATCATTTTTCAAATAATATCATTTTAATTGGAAAAACTCCTTTCTTTCCACAATCACCCGAAAAAAAGGAGGTGTGACAAGCTGTAGAGAGTGACCAGTTCTTCTGAAACTCTTTGACAGCTGCTTTTAATCTTCATTTGACATGGACCTGTCAGCCCGTCATACCCTACAATGGTCAGCCCGAAAAGTAGTCTCTCTGTGATGGTTTATATTTTGACTAGGTTTTAAATACTTGGGAAATGTGGCTATCTTTTAAACAGAAGCACGAAAAATGATTACAGGGGCAAATCGCCTTACATACTAGTATGCTCAACTCAAGGAGAAGCTAGTCCGATCGTGAGAAAGGCCCAAAAATTCGACCATGTATTCAAGTTGTAACAACAATCAAACACTGGACTAATGTGCTATTTTCGCAATTTCAGAGAGCCGAAACTTGTTATAAATAATATAAAAAGCAAGTATTTTTCGGACCAGAGCATCTTCAGCTGCCATGGCGACTGTACGAATGATAGGTGATGTACTACATCTGTTTTCCCCGTCAATTTGTCGTAATCAATATACTCTCCTTATCTAACTAGATTTCTTTTTTGAGCAGACATAGCCGTAAATTTTACTGGTGAGTCTGCCACATATTTCCAAGATGCAGTCAAGTTTTTGTTTTCTTTGTCTTAATTCTAAGAAACCCCCACAAATTCAGATAGCATGTTCAAAGGGATATACAATGGGAAGCAATATCATATGGGGGACATTCAAGCTGTGTTGAAGAGGGCGTGGAGCGCTGGAGTTGATCGCATAATTGTAAATCCTTCCCACTTTCTCTTTATTATTTATATGTCATTGTTTTGCATTTCAAAATTCATGTTATGATTATTGGTTGGATTTGTTTGAATATTGTTGCATAAAGAATGTGGAGTTTTTTCTACAATTCTTTTACCAAGTTTTGTTTTTTTGGATTGCTTCACTAATTGCACATAAAGTTTCACACTTCTAATTTAAAATTTGTCTAACAATTCTGATGTGTGAAAACCCAATTGATTCACCACTTAAAAGTGTACTAAAAGGAATATTTCATTGCAAAATCATGTTTCTTAGTTTAGTGCCACATGGAAAAGAGAAAATAGGAGGATGTTTAACTTAACACGTAATTTGTTGGTATTTATGTTGTCGACCCTTAGCATCCATTTTCCTTTTTGTTTTGTTACTTCAGTCATTGACTTTGCACTGATGTAGTTAGAGGAATATATCAGCAGTAATATTGTATACGGTCATAACCGATTTGAGTCAGTCGTACGGACTGATCGAGACGATAAGGTTTCGATCAAAGGATATCTG